AATGGTCATAAGTTGCATAGGTCATAAGTCGATCAATACCTGTATATACAATGTAAAGTATACAATTCAGTGATTTTTAGTATATTCAGGTGTGAGTGCAGCTGTCACCACAGTCAACTTTAGAGTGTTTTCATTGATCCAAAGGGAAACCCTTTAACTGCTAACCTCTCTTTCCCCGTCCCCTCTTCTGCCAGCCCAGGAAACTACAAATCTACTTTCTGTCTCTGTCCTGGACATTTTACATGGATGGAATCATACCACATTTGTCCTTTTATGTCTGGCTTCTTTCATGATATTTTGGGGATTTTGTTGTTGTTTTTTAAGACCTGGTCCTACTCTGTCCCTCGGGCGGGAGGGCAGTGGCAGGATCATAGCTCACTGCAGCCTTGAACTCGTGGGCCCCAGCGATCCTTCCACCTCAGCCTCCTGAGTAGGTGGGACTACACGCATGCACCACCACGCCTAGCTTGCTTATTTATTTATTTATTTATTTATTTAGTAGCGATGGGGTCTCACTATGTTGCCCAGGCTGGTCTCGCAGTCCTGGGCTCAAGCGATCCTCCCACCTTGGCCTCCCTTAGTGCTGGGATGACAGGTATGAGCCACCACACCTGGCCAAGAATTGGTATTGCCTAAATGTTTATAGAATTGAGCGGCGAAGCTATCTGGCCAGGGCCTTCCTTTGTGGATAGTGTTTTGATTACTAATTCAACCTCTTCACTTGTTACAAATCTTTCAGATTGCCTCTTTCTTGAGCCGGTTCTGGTAGTGTGCTTGGCTTAGGTTTTGCAGGCCTCTCCCTGCTTGTTCAGTCCTAGTTGACATTTATTGAGTTCTTCCCATGTACCAAGCATTTATCATGCATTAGCTCATTTAATCTTTACAAAAACTTGATGAGCTAGGTAGTACTATTATCATCTCCATTTTACAAATGTGGGAGTGGAAGCAGGGATTGGTGAGATGACAGGTTAAGGTCACACCGCTAGGAAATAGTCCAGCCGGGTTTTGAGCCCAGACAGTCCGGCCAGGCAGCCCCAGGGCTTGCCACCCACTGCAGTTCTCCGGAGACTCAGAGAGGGGCCTAAGGCCTGACATGAACAAAGGCTGGGGGAGGTAGGGTCCGGAAGGGCCCAGGAAAAGCATGTGTGTAAAGAGCTCACACCCCTAGTTGGGGAGTTCAGATGGCACCTCCCAGGGCTTTCATCCTCTGACCTCCTGTCTCCCAAGCGCTCAGCCAAAGGGCAGCACAGAGCACCCTACCCTAGGGTGCGACGCCCCAGGCGGCAAGAGTTTGGAGCAGTAGAACTCTGCCCAGCAGTCTGTATGAATCACCCAGGCCTCTGCATTTTGCTCCTCTAGAGGAAGAGGCATGGCAATTTGTAAGACAATCACTAGACAGAAATCGGGAGCAACCAGACATAACTCAACATAATTATTTCTGCATAATGGCTTCTGCTACTTGATTCTGTCTCGAGCCATGACTGTAATCTCTATCTGTCACTGGAAAGCTGGTGGCCAGGGAGCCCCTGTGGCTTAGAGATAGAGCCAGGAGGAAATTTGCAATTTGAGTTAATGGAGTGTTCCCAAGCAGTCTGGGAGCCAGTGCCTTCAAGGTCTCTGGAACAGCAGACCCTCCTCCTGCTAGGAAGCCTGGTGTCAGAGCTGGCTGGGCCTGCTTGGAGTCCAGCTCTCCCGCTTTGTCACAGATGGGGAAATGGAAATGGCAGAGGTCACAGGGTATATGCCCAAGGCCGCTGAGCAGCAGAGGCCAACCTGGACCCAGCACCTCCTCTTCACCCTCCCACCACCCAGCATTTTCCCCAACAGCTGGCCTGGCTGTCGGTGGGACAGAGGCGATGCCTCTGTGGAGCTGGTCACTGAGAGTGTTGGCCAGAGAGGGGTGCCCCCAGGAGGCTGGAGACAGTGGGGCCTTGGCAGCCAGATAGCGAGGGACCTCAGTGTGGTAGTTGGGTATGCTGCTTGAGCGTGCCCAGTGGCACTCACCTGCTCCAGCTGGGGCCACACAGAGGCCTTTCCTACCCCAGGAGTGCGCTTACTCACTGCATTCTATGGCCTCTTAAAATTCCCCTTTAGGCTGGGCATGGTGGCTCACGCCTATAATCCCAGTACTTTGGGAGGCCAAGGCAGGCAGATGGCTTGAGCCCAGGAATTTGAGACCAGCCTGGGTAATGTAGTGAGATCTCATCTCTACTAAACATGAAAAAAAAAATAGATTTGGGTGCACCTGTACTCCCAGCTACCTGGGAGGCCGAGGCTGGAGGATTACTTGGGCTTGGGAGGTCGAGGCTGCAGTGGGCTTTGATTTGCCACTGCACTCCAGCGTGGGTGACAGATCAAGACTCTGTCCCCCCAAAACAAACAAGCCCTTTTAATTAACCAGAGCAGCTGAAAAGAACAGAGCATGGGTTTGGGGATTTTTGTCTTGGGCTTCCCACGCCCCACTTAGCCGAGAGTGACCTAGGCTGGTGACCTGATCTCTTTCCTTCTCCCTAAAGAGTTGAGAATGAGCTCTCTACCAGGGCCAGTGGGAGGGGATGATGAACTGGGGACCTGGTGCATTCTGCTGCTGGCTCCATTCCTGGGTTTCTCCTCATGGAGAGCCCTTGACCCTGTCCGGGTCTTGATTTCTCTGAGTGTCAAAGCAGGGTGCGAGGAGCTGAGAGAACTTTGCTGAGATCCTGGATTTGAAAACACCATGGGAAAATATGGGGCAAGGCGGAGAGCACAGAGGAGCTTTGGGGGTGAGCACGCGCTATGTGATACTGTAATGGTGCGTGGCATCCATGCACGTTTGTCAAAGCCCTTGGAGTGGCCCCCACCGAGAGCGAACCCTGATGTGAGCTGTGGACCTGGAGGTGATGATGCTCAGTGCAGGCCCCTCAGTTCTAACAAATGGCGCGCTCTGGCGGGGGATGTGGGCCGTGGCGAAGGCTGTGGCCGGGCGTGCTGCAAGGGGTGTGTGGGGCCTTTCTGCTCAATTTTGTTATGAAGACCTGAAAAATAAAATATATTATTTTATTTTATTTTTTTGAGATGTTTCACTCCATCACCCAGGCTGGAGTGCAGTGGTGTGATCTCTGCTCACTGCAACCTCCACCTCCCAGGCTCAGGTGATTGTCACACTTCAGCCTCCCAGGTAGCTGGGACTACAGGCACGCACCATCACACGTGGCTAACTTTTTGTATTTTTAGTAGAGATGGTGTTTTGCCATGTTGCCCAGGGTGGTTTCAAACTCCTGGACTCAAGCAATCCACCTGCCTTAGCTTCCCAGAGTGCTGGGATTACAAGTGTAAACCATGGTGTCCAGCCTAAAATCCATCACACACACACACACACACACACACACAAAATACTATCTTAACAGCATAGTAACTTTGCAGTGAGAATTTCTAGTGGGAAGATGCGTGACTTTGCCAGGTCTTGAATGCTAGCAGTGAGTTTACATTTGTAATTGGCCTACAAAATGCTATATTTAGGAAACGGTAGAAATTTAACTGAGCAAGATATACCCTATTTCCAATCACGTCTGAAGCATCTTGGGGACATTCATTTGTCAAACATTGATTATTCATTGAGTACTTGATGTGTCCAGGCTCTGAGCAGGAGCAGATGCACAGACATGAAGCGGGCGATTTCCCGACCTTGTGGAGCTCACAGTCGGTGGGGTGGGTGGAAGGAGGGGAGAGGTGCAGTGCCCCCATTATGTAGGAGCGAGGGGAGCCCTGCTGGCACGCTGCACTGTGCTAAGGCTGCGTGTTCTAGTGGGCATTTGTACAGTGGGATCATTGCTATGAGGCAGAGAACCCTGTGTTGGGAGGAAGTAACTAGGGACTGCGGTAGATGCAGAAGAGAAACGGGCTGTCAGGCGAAGGGGCTGCCGGGATCCCATCCTGGCTCTGCATCTTGGAAGCCACATGAGCTTGCAGGTAATTGGCTCCTATAAGCCTTCGCATTTCCCCATCTGTCAAATGGGGATGATGGCCATGCCTGCCTCCCAGGGTGGTTGTGTGGATTACACTGGATAATGAGTACAAATGCCTAGACAGCCTTCAGCAGGGAGTCTGGGTGTGTGGATCTGTCGGCCTCAACACTGTTGATACACATAGGTACCAGAGGCTGCAGGTCACCAATCCGTGCATGGGGAGCAGGCAGAGAAGAGGGAGGTGGGACAGTCCGAGTTCACCCTATACGGAGGGCGCTGGAAACGCTTCTGCCAGAGCTGGCAGTGGCGGGGTGAAGGTGGGAGTGGTTGGGCACCCGGATGCCGGCAGTGCAGATTTCCCTTCTCGGCCTCTGGGTGGTTTTGTGAGCTGCTGGCCGAATGTCAGTTGATGTGTCCTGACTTTTTCCTGAGCACCTAGTGTGTGCCCTGCACTGGGCCCGGGCAGCATGCAGGGGGCAATGTGGGCCTGGAGGAGGAGGTTGGGTGATGAGGGGACAACCCAGGTATGCCAGTCAAGAAACTGTGGAGGCTGGAGGGACCCTGAAGGGGGCAGGGCACAGCTGTGGGTACCAGGCCTGGGCGTGCATGATTCCACTGTGCCCTCTCAACAGCCCTACGGGGAGCAGAGTGCAGAGTGCTGGGTGAGGACGCAGGCTGTGCGTCTGTGATGGTCCCAAGTGACAATGCTGTTAGGATTCGACGCTGAGTTTGCAGACCACAGAGGTCCCGGCCACGCTTAGTTTCCATGCCAGTTTGTAGTAACCAGCGACCTCACTCGAGGGGCGGCCAGCATCTCACCTCCGGGCTTCTGTCAATGTAGTCGCGGGCTTCCCTCCCTCTGGGGTGCAGCAGCCGCGGGCAGGTACCACTGCCCATGGTGGCTGGCCGGAGCCGGGAGCCAGGGGTTCTGTGTTTCACATGGTGCTTGCAGAAGCTGTGATACCCTAACAGGCACAGCAGAAGCAACCAGAGGGAGGGGCACGGGCTTCGGCCGGGTCATCACAGCCCGCATGACCTGTCACTCTTGTCTTTCAGGGGCATGGTCTAGCGGCCCGGTCAGGAGGCGGAAACACGCCCCGGAGGTCCTGACCCTCTCCCTCTCGGCCTCCACCTGATCCCTGGTAAGTCACTTCCAGAGGCCGCCTGGCCCGGGGCCGTTGAGGGCTGAGGAGGGAAGTGGGTGGCGTCTGTGGTGCTGTGGGGTCCTGCCCACGTGTGGGGACCAGACCCAGCTCAGCAGAAAGAGCAGAGAGGACTGGGTGTTGGAGCAGCCTACCTAGCACCCCTGAGACAGGTCAGGAACCTGAGGCTCAGGCACAGAGAACCCCGGGGTCCACAGTCTTCTCAGTTCTTGCCCTAAGCTGGCCAGGTCTTTCCGTGTCATCTGTGACCTTCGGAGCTTCTGTTTGGGGATTTGTTGGGGGATTGAGGCGTCCAGAGGCGTGAAGGGTAAACCGTGAGAGGGCCTTGTGGATGAGGACGAGCTAGGGCACTGTCTTTGTGTCCAGGTTTGTCTTCTACTCCCCTGCAGCCCCCATGCCTGGAAGCTTCCTTCTCCCAGGCTCCTGCGCATGGCCAGGGCCACTCAACCCTGTGGACCCACCCATGCCATAAGCTGTCTATGCTGGAGCTGAGCTTGCAGCTCTCCCCTCAGAGCAGTTAGTGTGGCCTGCAGGGCCCAGGGTCTGTCTGAATCCGCCACCCTCCAGCCCCCCAGGCCTCTGCCTGCTCTGGGTGTGAGGGAGGCTTCAGAGAGGGCAGAGTGCTTCCAGCTTGAACACGCTGCCCTGGCCACTGGCCGCCGCTCCCCCATTGTTAGCCTGGCTCGGGAGCTTTATCCATCCAGAATCCTTCCTGGCCCAGCCTGAGCTCACTACCTGAGCTTGGGAGGGCTCCTCATGACCCTGGTTGTCCCGCCAGCTCCCGAGACAGGAAGGACCTGCTGTGTCCCGGGGCTGCCGTTGGGTCTGGAGAGCCCGCCGGCCCTGCTGCGGGGCTGCTTTTCCTGCGCTGAGGGTCTGGTTTTGTTTGCAAGCAAAGAACCAGGTGTGCGGTGCTGGCCAGGCGTGCGGTGCTGGACAGGTGTGTGGTTCTGGTTGTGCCTCTTCGCAGCCTGGCCAGTTTTGTGCATATGAAGGTTGATAAAACTGCCCTCTTCAGGGTCAATGCCAGATCAGACCTAGAGTGAAGTGTCCCTGTGGTGTCTGGACCGGCAGGGCCCGGCTTCCCCACAGCTCCTCCTCCCTCCCTCCTCCCTCTCGTGGTCTCAAGAGTATTATGGTGACTCTTGTCACTCACCACTCTGCCCCACCTGCCCCTGCATGCTGTGAGCATCAGGTGGGGCCCTGGATGTGGCAAGGGTCAGCTGCCACAGGCTGGAAGAGGCAGCCCAGGGGGACACCTCGGGGAGGGACATTTGGAGACAGAGCCCCATCTGGCTGTGCCTGGCCCATGAGAGCCCTCATCCGCTACTTGCATCTGGTGAGTTTGGCCGGGTCCTGTATAAGGATTAAAGTCCTCCAAGTCCGCATACAAAGCTACTTGCGAAAAATCTGGAATGTTCTTGGCCCAGAAGGGGGAGACCCTCTTTATCATTTCCATCTTCCCACACAGAAGGAACCACCTTTGAATGCTCAGCCAGGCAAAAATTTGGACCAGAAACCTGTTAAAGCATCACTGCCTTAATTTCAGTGGTCGTGAGGGGGTTCCAGGCTGTGTGAGGGGTGGGGGCAGGTACCAGTGGCTGATTCCATCGGTGGCCCTGGTAGATGGGAGTCCTGCAGGCGGTCAGGCCCAGGGCAGACCCCGGGCATGGCTGCTTTCTCTCTGGGCACCAACAGCTCCCCACCCTCTGGCTGTCCCCTGCCCTGCCCTCGGGTCTCCATCCTGTGGGCAGGGTGGGTTTTCCTGCCTTCCTCTTCCTGAGGGAGGGCATGTCTCCTGCCGCCTTCTCCTTGGCAGAGTAGCTGTGGGGTTGGGAGGAGACACCCAGGCTGGAACCTCAGCCTTAGGGTGCTGGTTAGTGGGTGGGTCTTTGGTTTTTTTCTCTGAATAGACACAACTGCATGTGAAGTGCCACCTGCACTCACTCATTCTCCCTCCACCAGCCCAGCTGCACTGGAGCTGGAACAGGGGACATCTGGGTCCATGCTGCCTGGATGTCCCCTGCATGCAAGTGTCCTGGCCCAAGGCCACAGTCGGCACAGGTGCACAGGGCGGCGCCTGGCCTGGCTGGGCGTGCTAAGGTTGACCCATGTCAAGAAGCTGGAGCAGGCAAAGGGATGAGAAGCAGGTGGACGAGGAGGTCCAAGGTGTCCATTTCCACCCCCACACCCCGGGGCATTTCGGTGCACGCACAGCAAATAATACCTCTGCACCACCACCACCAGCACGAGTGGAGGGACTCGGGGGTCAGAAGGCACTTTCTAGCACATGCACACCATTGGCCATGGATGTTGTGGGTCAGGTGATGGGTAGTAGAAGGGCCTTCGGCTTCTCTCTGCCCTGGCCTTTGGTGGTGGACGGCAGGCCGCTCCTGGCAGTGAAGAAGCAACACCCACGTAGTAAGGCTGGAGTCCCAGCTTCCCCTCCCTGCTTTCCTCCCCGAAGCCCAGACACTCATGGGTTCCTTCCTTCAGCGTGGGTTCACGGAGCATGTACCCTGTGCCAGACAAGCTTCTAGGCTCTGGGCTTCTGATGGAGAACAGGCCAGAGTGAGCCTGGCCCGAGGACCTGGAGCTTCACTCAAAGGGAGACAGACAGTGAACTCAGTAAAACAGAAATAAGAGAAGGGATCTTGCTGGAAAGGGGATAAAGAATGAGTGCTGGGGCTTCAGCTGTGCATAGAGTGCTTGGGGAAGGCCTTCCTGAGATGGGACCTGAGCAAAGGCCTGCAGGAAGCCAGGGATGGGCACGCTTCTGGCTGAGGAGCAGCTGGTACAAAGGGCCTGTGGCAGACACGTGCCCATGGCAAGGAGGAGGGGAGCAGGCAGCTCAGCCAGGTCGGGGTGGGTCACACCTGAGAAGGTCAGGATGCCAGCAACCCGACCACTGAGGAAGACAGGCATGAGCAGCATCTCAGCGCAGCCAGAGTCCCACTATATGGCGGCCCTCTGTGTCCCTTAAATAGGGAAGCCTCCTACCAGGCCTAAGAGAGCACTGTTGCTTATGGTGATTTGTGTAGCCAGCAGTTCTTCTGGACGAAGTTAGATGGACAGGGCCATGGAGATGTGGGCTCTGCAGAGAAGAGGCCAGAGGAGCAGGCCCCTGGGCTCACCTCCCCTCTGCTGCTGGCTGGGCTGCGGATCCCGGGTGGGCATCTCAGAGAGCCATCTGAGTGGGCTTTCTGAAAGTGGCCTCCTTAGTGGACTGGTCATGAGGCAGGGCACCAGGGAAGGGACAGTCCTCCTGTGATGTATGTTGAGGGTTATATTTAGGGTGACTCGGGATGACTTGGCAGTATCTCTTCCTGTGGTCGTCCCCTCCAGCCCTCACCCACAGAGGGCAGACGCTGTCTGACTAGCGTTGTGGACATGTGCCTGCACACACGTATACACACACGCATGCAGGCACAACTTGGCATTCTCCTCTGCCGTGGAATCAATGGAGAGCTGGGGACATTGTCCTGGCCTTTCTGCAGGACTGCCAGGTGCCTGGTGGGGTAATCCCGGCCGTTAGCATCTCCTGAGCATCTGCTCCATGTCAGGCTCTGTGAGGGGCTGCATCCGGATCCCACATGAGTGACACCCACCTGGGTTCCCCACCTGATTGGGAGATGCCAGGCGGAGGTAGAAGGAAGGGCAGCTGAACTGCCTGTTAGTCGGCTCAGCCACTGACCTTGCTCCCTGACCAAGGTTAGGGAGCCGAGGCTGCACACAGATGCTCCCCTGACCTTGCTGCCCGTTGGCCCCGGGCTCCAGGCCAGGTCCAAGCCAGCCAGGCCCTTCCCCACCCTTGTTGCCGGCCTCTCTAGGTGGAGTCCACGGTCAGCCTTTCTCCCCTTCCCGAGGCATCCAGCACCACCCCAGGCACAGGACCTGATGTTTCTGGGACAGCCCAGGTGTCACATTTTCTCTGTTACCCCCTAGAATATTCTTGCACTTCTCAGACTCTGTGTGCAAATTTTTAGCTTAGAAGGAACCAGAGACTCTCTGGTTAGAATGTATCTGATGGGGCTCTCGGAGCATGCACAGAAGTGCCCTGCTGGCCGAAGATCCACTCCTCCGAGGCCAGATCTGCGGAGGATTTGGAGGTTGTCTGGAGGAACTTCTAGATCACAGGAACCTTCTCCCTCCCTCCCTCCTCGACTTCCTTCCTGCCTCTCGTCAAACAATTACTGTGTATTACTGTGTACTTCCTGTGTTCCAGGCACTGTGCTAATAATTGGTTATGGGATTATTCCTAGCCACACCCTGGGTAAATGGAACCCAGCTCTCTGTCCTTGGGGAAAGGGTCAGGAGAGGACTGGGGCCCAGCCAGGAAGCTGGAGACTTGAGGCCTTTGGTGCATGTTGGAATACTGCCTCCCTCTGCCATCCAGCACCCACGCACGGTGCCAGGCTCAGAGCCGGGACTGAACCTTGGTAAGAGAAGGGAGGAAGGAGCTCGTGCCTCGCCCTTCCGACCAGACTGTCAGCGCTCTGAGGGTGTTTCCGCTTCTGTGTCTCCCCAGCAGTTAGCACTGTGGCCTGCACATAACAGGGGTCCGTGTGGTTGATTACATTTTGTGTGTATGGGTGGGTGCGATGCCATGACTCTCCAGGCAGAGCCTGTGGCTTCTGGTGTTGGGATTTACAGTCTAAAGGTGGTGAAGAGTGGCTTTTATGAGCTGCCCCTGCTCCTGTTACAATCACACTCTCTATGAGTCAGGGGCCTGGGTGATCATGGATAAGTCACTTGCCAACACTTCAAGACTGTGGCTGCCAGGGCCCCCGAGGGCGGTGGGCACATCACCATTCTGTGCCTGGCGTTTCAGCCAGGCTGATGCCATTTTACTGAGAATGACTGATGTTTTTATTGCTTCCTGTGAATCAAATAATCCATGCAATGATTCACTGGAGGTTTCCTTCCAAGTTTAAAAATGAATTAAAGAAAGTTTTTGACAGGTGTGCTGAGCTGTAAGT